GAGAGAGAGAGAGAGAGAGAGAGAGAGAGACTATTATGTATTCTCGTGCGCGTATTCGGAATTTTCCGACACAAATTACACCGACGCGTTTCTCATCTCTCTTTCTCTCTCTCTCTCTTTCTCGCGTGTGCATACCTCTCTGCGAGTGCGCAACTCACGTTGCGCTGCGCGGCAAAGTAATCGTAACACAAAGTGAGAAAACGAAGAAGAGGACGCGATAATTACACGCGCACGTAATCTCTTACGCAATCGAAATTAGCGTCACTCGCGACTATTAATAGCGTTTCTCTCTTTTTTCCTTTATCGTTGACTTTTAACGGCGGACTTTTCTTCTTAGCTCTTCGTTGCTCAAATAACAATTTTTATCGACAGTTTGACAAGGCACCGATAGCCAAAATTTCTTTTGCACAGATCGACGGTTGCACAGGTTCCGTTTGCCTAGATCCCGTTTGCACAGAAAATTTTTGCGCAGATTTCGATTGCGCAAAAAATGGCATAGTCGTTATTATTATATTTGCGAAGTAAATATTTTGCTTATATCACACACCATAGTGGAGAGGCTCCGCCCTTCCTCCTGCACCCTCTCCTCGAAAAATTCTAACCCAACCTAATCTATAATATGTCTGTGCAATGACGATTATGCGCACAAATTTTCTGTGCAAACGGGATCTAGACAAATGGAACCGTCGATCTGCGCAAAAAAAATTTTGGCTATCAGGATCTTCCTGTCCACTTTCTGTTTCTCAGATCCGAGAATGAGACATTCGAAGAGCAATCTGGACGTACTGTACTTTACATTCACCGACAAGGTCTTGCAGAGTCGCGTCGTCAAAGCAGAGCTAAATCTGTGGGTATGGGGGGTCAATTCGGACGGCGACTTACTCGAACTCGACAATCAGGACGAAGGCCTGTTGACGATCACGCTACAGAGAATTTTGCGTGGCACGAGCGAGAACGGTGGAACCGCGATGGGACCACCGCTCATCACGAAGCACGCAAGACCTCAGGTACGACGAGGGGGATGGATCACGATCGAGCTCAGGCGCATGGTCGCCGAATGGTTCAGACATCCGCGTGACAATTTAGGTGTCGCAGTGAAGATCGCCGGTCCCGATGGTCATCGCAGAAGCCCGAACAAATTGATCGAGATCGATTCAAGCTCCGACCACGCGCCTTATCTCGAGCTGCAAATAGAGGAACTCGAGTCGCGTCAGAGAACGAGAGTCAAGAGGAACATCGGCCTGAATTGTGACGAACACACTCAGGAAAGCAGGTGTTGCAGGTACAAACTCACAGTGGATTTCGAGAAGTTCGGCTGGGACTGGGTTATCGCACCTAAAAAGTAAGTGCATAATTTTTTGTTCTTGCTTTTTGCAATTTTTTCTTTTGCAATTTTGCAACATATCTGAGTGTTTTTGTTTTTCAAGCGCAATTTGCGCATAAATAACAGAGCGAGTTCTTTATGAAAGTTGTCAGAGCGAGCGGTATATTTCGAACGTAATGTTGCGCAAAAAAAATAATAATAATAAGAATTGCACGACGCGATTAATGTATCCTCAGTCAAGCACGTTTCTCGTAAAGATTTCTCCGTCAGAGGAAAACATCGGCTGCCAAACGCGGCTTCAGCGGGGAAACTGTGACTTTACTGCCGGCACGTAAAGAGCGTCAACAAATGTTTAAACTGTTATTGCGCACGTTCGGTCTAAATATATATTTCTCGCTGCGCAACGCTGACACTAGCGTCATCACATGTTACTTATTATTTGACAAAGCAAAGTCGATACATTTTGCATGTTTGTCAGTAAACGCGAAATCCTAATTACACATCATATTTCTTTTTGAAATATGTAAGAAAAAAATAGAAAGAAAATATAAAAATGACAGAAATTGCATTGCATTCACGATCGGTTTTCCAACTTTGTGTCATAGATACGAAGCCAATTACTGCTCGGGCGAGTGTCCGATGGCGTTCCTTACGCTCTATCCAAACACCCACATTGTCAGTCTGGCAGACAAACCGATGAACAATACCGGACCGTGCTGTGCACCTAGAAAACTATCTGAAATTACGATGCTATATTTCGACAACGAGTACCAGATCGTGTTCTCGCGACTTCCCGGTATGGTCGTCGAAAGGTGCGGGTGCTCATAGTCCATCTGCACAACATGAACAAACACGCGCGCGGACAACAGGTACGGGGAGGGAATAACGGCGAATTTTTTTTCCATTGCAGCGCCATTCCGATCATTTTCGATAATCGTCGTCGTTGTCTCGTTGTTATGTTCCAGGAAACGATTTTTTCTCATCCGATAGACTGAAAGTGCCTTGTTCGAGGGAATGGTGATTGCGTGATTGCGAATCTCTTTGGAAGCGCGAAAGTGGGGGAATCAGAGAGAGAATGCTAATGCGGGTGTTAAACATACACACACAGGCGGACGGGATTATAGCAGGAAATTCGGCGATGGATCTTCTGGGAATAGGTCAATGCGCTATACACGTGGATGCCGAAATAGTTCAACGCGGCAGACCCATTGTCTCGGGGAGACAAATGGATCTCTCGCGTTGGACTGTTTTCAAAATCCGCGTGTATAACACGTTGACCTACGCTCCCGGGAAGATAAGTCTCTGCTGGCGGTTTCTGTTCTCGCGTGTCGGGAGAAATAGCTTGAAGATTCTCGATGATTCATGGCAAGGCGGATAGTTCCTAGAGTTACGATATTAATTTTAAGAAACGTCGGTACACACGTTTGCATCGAGTCTGCGAGATTTTACTTCAATATTTAACAACTTGTACAATTTTGTACTTTTTTTTACTTTTTTTTTACTTTTTTTTTACTTTTTTTTTTACTTTTTTTTTACTTTTTTTTTACTTTTTTTTTACTTTTTTTGTACTTTTTAAACAACTTATACAATTTTTTACATACCCCGATAGCCAAATAATAGCAGTATGCCAGCAATATGCACGCAGGTTTAATCAGCACTTTGCAGCAGATTCCATTCAGCTGTGTCATCATAGTGAGTGAATTATGTAGGCACGATATGTAAAGAAAATAAGACAGCAAAAATATAGAAATAAATAAAGAATGAAATGACAATAGCACGTTATGCTTCAAATCTGCTACATTTTTTGAGNAAGTTCTGCTTGATTGATGCAATAATATTTGCAACACGGCATGACACATTTATATTCTGTTTTTTTTCCGTTTTTCTGTCAACACTACTTGAAATAACAGATTATGTTTGAATGCTGGCTACATTGCATTGGCATAATGTGTTATTGCAGACTTTGCAAAATATGTTCATTCAGTCTTGGTTATCTGGGTAGTTTTTGGTTCGATCCCGTTTACAATAATTTTTTTAATATAGAAAAATATGGTAAATATTTTACAAAAGGTCACCACCCTCCGATCAACTTCACATATATTGTCAAGGTATATAGGCAAGAAGGGCTACGCCTCCCCCCCACAGAGGGAGGGGCTTCGCCCCTCCCCCCTGCTCTCCGTGTTTTGTGTGTATATTACCTTGTGTTTATATTAGAATATTTTTTCTGAATTCACTATTCTGCAATAATAAATTATGTCTAAAATATACAGGTTTGATAACGATGCTTCATTAATGAAACTTTTTTTGGTAATTTTGACGTGAAGCGAATGTAATCGGAAATCGTATTTGTTAATTAAATTCTTCATTTTTTCTTGACGGGGGGAGCAGGGGGAGGGGCGAAGCACCCCCTCGCCTAAACACTTATAACACAAAGAAAATGTACATGGAATCGAAAAATAAGAGTTTATTTATAAAACTTTTTTTGTTATTAACTTTTTAACAACGAGCGACGGCTAAAAGGTTTTGCGTGTCACTCAGAACAATGTTCTTGATATGTGAAACTCAAGTTGATCGGAGGGTGGTGTCTTTTGTAAATAATTACCAAAAGTATTTTTTTGAATATAGAAAAACAATTTTTTTAAATATGCAAAAATAATTGTTTTTAATATAGAAAAATAATTTTTTTTAATCTAGAAAAAACTAAATGCATTTTTTTCGTCTCTTATCAATCTCGTCAACACAAAGTTGCACGACGATCGATGGAAACGTGTTGACCAACAGATCTCGGTGTACAGTAAAATCGTTGTTTTTCTAATTGTGGGTTTTCCCCCTCTTCTCCCCTTCCATCGTCTTTCTATATTATATACAGATATATACATATATAGATATATAAATATAAAGATAAGTTTTTATCATATAGTCGTTTTTTTTTGTGTCTAGCAAATTGTGAGAGCGCATGTGCGAGAGAGAGCGTGTCGAATTATGTAAATAAATCATAAATCGCGGGCGAGAATGTGACGTTTGCTTTGTAGCGTGCTATCTATCTAAGTGAAAAACGCCCGATAAAATATTGTTCGGTGTCAGAGAAGAAGAAAAAGGTGAGGTGAAATTATTTTGATTGTCGCGACACGCGAACAGCACGAATATGTTACATTAGTCGCGCGGATGTTTTTCGCGTCGTGCTTACAACTTAATTAGCGCCGTACATGCGTTGAAAAACCGCGTGAGTGATTTTCTAATAAGAACATGATGTTAATTTTCGAGACAATTTTTTTACTTCACGTTTTTCTTCTTCTCCATCACCGAACAATATCTTATCGGGCGTTTTTCATTTAGATAGATAAAATAAAAAAAACGTTATTCGCAGTTCGCGAGCTGCACTACTACTCTCGCGCATCCCCCGGGAGAAATGCGTCTTTTCGCGTCAAGAAGAACAACGATCTTTTTTATTTTTAAGAAAAATTCCGCTTACCTAACACTCAACACGATTGAAAATCAATGCGATTTCGATCGGTTTCAGATAACATTTGCGGAGCTAATCGAAATTTTGGCTGATCTCTCAATCCCTTGCGATCTTCATAAAATTCGGGAACACGCCGTCAAAAACAAATCTTTATACTATGTAAAAATCTCTATACTCTATCAGATTAAACAATCTGTTCCGCGTTCTTTTTCAAAATAATGTTTTTTGAAAAAAGAAGAAAGAAAACGTGAAATTGATTGTTTAATCCGACAGAATATTAAGATTTTTAGCTTCGTCAAGTGCACTGTGTGTGAATAGCTCTTAACTTGTAACTTGTAAAATAGCATATACAATACACGATCGATTAGTGCGCGCACCATCCCTGAAATAATGTGACTGATTGCAAAAACAAAAAAAAAAAAAAAACCAAAAAAAAAAAAACACGTGCAAAAGGCCGAAAAGACCATATATACGGGAATTTATAAATGAAAAATTTGGGGTTTTATAAAGCTGTTATATATATATATATAAAGGACGCAAAAGATGAAAGCTCTTTGAAAAATCTATTCTTTCTTTTTATTAATTTGATTAAATAATCTTTCTTTTCCCCGAGCGCTGTCCTCCACATCCTTCCGACAACCATCGTACATGGTTTTCTACAGTTTTCCCTTTTTATTTTCCCTTTTTCCTTCTCCCGCTTTTCCGTACAACACGCCAACAGCGCAATCGCGTGTACTTTTACGAATGTACGGGCCGAGGACAGATAATAATGCATACTTATAGATCTAATGTATACTTCCTAGGGGTAAGATAGAATATTTATTCCATGAAATAAATGGTTTTTCGATGAGCAAGAAAATAAAATAAAATAAAATTAACAAGCAAGTGTTTTTTTCATTTCTCCATCCTCGCAAACTCTCTCTCTCTGAAAAATTCCAAACGCACTTCACGCAGAGATCTTTTATTGCGCACACGAACCTGACACACGCGCGTGTGTCAATTAAACGCGCACTTTGTCACTTTCGATTAACGTTGCGTGGCGTTCGGATAGATTTTTAAAATTAATTTGCATAACAAATCCAAACGCTATCACAGGAATGATGTTCCAATTCTTATTTTTTTTTTTTTTTTCCAGTAAGCAATCAGTGCACATTTCAGTTAAATCGCGTGTTCCCGACGCGACTCTAATCAATGCGAGAAATTCACGATATTGCGGCTTTTGGCGATTAACTTTCGGATGGCAAAATCCGATTATTATCTCTCGCAATTTGCGTTCAATTTGCGAATTAAAACGTCCAGCCAGTTTTCGATGCTGATATCTGACAAATCTTTTTTTTTTTCAGCAAAACGGAGAAAAATATATTCGCAATTGTCATGCTTTTTTATGTTCTCATCAAGTATGGCAAAGTTTCTATTTTCGAACAGTTTTATCAATAAGAATTAGAACAGACGCTGATTTCTGACGTAAAAATGAGACTGTATTAGAGTTGGTTATTTTTACATAACTTACCGAAATGAGAGGCCGCAGGGAGATTGAATCGCTGTTGTATCCTATCTTTCGCTAATTCCTACGCGAAGAGATGAATTTTCTTTGAAGTGGACTGCAGTTTCCGCAATTTGGTGTTTGCATCTACAAAGTTATTGCAATTATTAAACAGTTGTGTACATATTCCCTCCTGCGGGACGCATCTTCAAAAGGCCGTTAGAAATGCTTTCGCTGTATGAGAGACTACATCTAAGTGGACCGCTTAACCGTTTGAGTCCCAGGGGGTATTGAAAAAACACTGTCGAAGAATCCCAAACAGCGCAACCGCGCTTTGCTCGAAATGTGCTGGGTTTTCTTGACATAAAATCTCAACAGCGCGATCGCGCTGCTTGGGACTCAAATGGTTAAACAAATAGAAATAACAAAAAAAACAAACGCTTTTGTGGTTCTATGAGAATGTCCAGGAGTGGCTCGAAGCAGCACTGGTCCCGCGTAATCCACTCCGGCATGTTGAAACGGTCTAGCTGGTGTGGACGCGGAAGGACGTGGAAAGTCTGCCATTGTTTGAGTGGTTATGGCCGCCCGCGCCATCGAGCACAAGTCACGCAGCGGTGAATGCACACTTCACTTGGCTCCGTCCTCGAGGGATCCAGTACTTCTATGTCGCAGGGCATGAAGGGTAAGCTGAACTCTTCCGTGTAGAACTTATGACACGACTCTATAACTAAACGAGAAAATGCGGCATGAGTTTGTAGTATCACTTCATGTTTCTCGTCGCAAGGTCTTAGTCGGTCTCAGAATCGATTACTTAACTTTTTGATAAAATTGAAGCTTCAGCGGAAATGGCCATCAAATCGTTCGAAATATTCAACCTGTGACAAGCGGATTCACACGTTCTCTGCTTCATCTAGTTCTACCACAGTGATGTTGAACAACTCTCGTTTGGCTTGATTTGAATGCACACTCCCTCTCTGAACATTGTCCAGGAAGCCGGCACGAAGCTGTAACTCTCAATAATTTTATAACGAAGAAAAACGCAGCAGCAATGGATTCTCCGACTGTGACTGAAAAGCGGCTTTTACCATGACGAATTCGTTGTTCCAACTGACTCTCTAGGAACTGTGTGACATGTGATTACGCGCTGCTCTCACTCAAAAAAGCTGGGCCATTCCGTCACAGTGTGGCGAACAAGATCGCTTGATAGATATTCCTCTGGATGGACGCAATCTGCTTGATTGCACTGGCCAGACAAATGATTCCAGCTGGTCTCAGGAACCAATTTCTGAATCTCCATGACTCGATTCGCCGAAGAATTCAGCGAAGAGAACGCAGGAAGAGAACCCTTCCGCACTACTGCCTTCAGCTGTAATGTGTGCTCGAGAAAAGCTCCTCACATTCTTGCTCTTCCCGGATGAGAGAGGCGCCTACTGTTCCTAAAATCTTCGCACAAGAATTGAGAGTGGATCACTTACGGAACATCGATGCGTCGTCGCCGTTGAATTTGCTGCAAACGAATTGATTTGATCCGACAGCACCCATCCAAATATCGTCCGCTACTGGATCATACTGCTTACCCTTCTTCGGACCCTTGCACAAT